GATCAAGATAACACTACTTAGAAGGTCCGAAGGGAATGCCCTGCGAAATTTTTGTTTTCTAGACGCCCTAAAATAACTTATGAAGCCTTTTAGGCTATCAATTTTTATTTTCTTTCTTTCTTTTTTTAATTTTTTTTTTTTTTACTTTAAAAAGGGGGAACCAGGACCAGAATGCTCCCCCTAAATCCACCCCTGAATTTATATGATTATAATGATTAATATGGTAATCATAAATGATAATCGTAGCTTGATATCGAAGTTCATTGAGGTTTTAACAAGACAGGCAATAATCCACGTTTAACCCCTTTATATGATAGACAAACTGAATTCTTTACTTTGTGTTCTGCAAGCAAACTTGCAGTGAAAACTTTATGTTTTCAATGCACTTACAAAAACACTCCTTATTGTTTTATGTTTGGTTTTAATGTAATTATTTTTACAAATGTTGGCCCATAACAATTAACAAGCCTCTTTCTAACCAAAGATGGTAGGAGTGGACGGACTGCAACAAAATTGAAGCTTCTCAGTATGTAGCCGCAGACTGCTCTTTGCCCACCAGTGTTAAATGTATTGTGTATGTTTAAATAATATTATATGATTACTTTTTTGTTTCAGGATTGGTTGAATATGAATCAACCAAAAACTTAACTGTTGGAGCTGACATCCATCTTACATGTCCAGTAACGAGTGACAGAACGTTGAAGTATTCTTGGTATAAAAATGGTGCTATACTCATGCACGGCAGAGAACTGTTAATTAGGAGAGCAGTTCCTGATGATAGAGGGCACTATACTTGTTATGGAAAGGACAAGGTGTTCGGAAGTTGTGCGGCAAATTTCTCTGTTGAAGTTTCAGGAGGTATAGGCAGAAATGACTCTTGATTTTTACATGTTGACACATGCCAGCTGCCCTGGGCCCCTCCCCCATAAATTTTTCAAGATTACATAAGAAATGAAAAAAGAAAAGAAATCTAGTCTTACTATGTCTGTTTGTAAAACAGAACATAGGGCTTTTCCTCATTGCTATAATGAGAAATGAATTTGAAATTGCAACAACAAAAGTTGTTAACAAGTATAAAGTAAAAAAGAAACATGGAAAACCAATATACTAAAAAGAATTGTGAATTAAAAAAATAAATACTGCGATGATAGTGAAACTCAAACTATTGCTGCAATGGTAATAGCGAGGTAAATCAAAATTCATAACCATTGTGCGCTATATGAGCCGACCTTGTATAGGCCAGTGCATTTTTCGTTCATAGTTATTCAGTGACTAAAAGCAAAAATTGTTCATGCATGTCACGGTAGTTTTGAGTTTAATCTGGCTGCAGCTGGTTTAAACGCTTTAGAAAACGCAAATTGCGTTTATATAATTTAAACAATTATTCAAAAAAATCTTTTAAATGGTCCTCATATCCTCACCCTACATTGGATCGTCACCAAAATTTGATCATTTCTTCATTGGACCAAGAAAAACTATTCTGCAAAGTTTCATTTTTATTCATTTATAACTTGGACTTGAGCAATATAAATGACCCTCAAATTTACACCCTAATGTGGATCGTCCCTAACACAAAATAATTTCTTCCTTGTAACTTGGTTAAACTTTTCCGAAAGTTTCATTTAGATCAGTTGACCCATTTTTTAAATATCTGGTCTGGGACGTTTTCCTTTGAATGGTCCTCATATCCACACACTACTCCGGATTGTCACAAAAATATAATAATTTCTTTATTAGACCTGGACAAACTATTATAGAAAGTTTCATTTAGATCCATTGATCTTTTAAAGATATTTAGGTCTTGGATCTCAAAAATTTTAATGATCCTCAAATTTACACCCTAAACTGGATCATCCCCAACACATAATAAATTCTTCCTTGTAACTTAGTTAAACTTTCCTGTAAGTTTCAACCAGATCAGGTGATCCGCTTTTGAAATATCTGGTGTAGAGTGTTTGCCCTTAAGTCCTTTTAATTGGTCCTCACATGCACACCCCACCCTAGATTGACACTACAGTAAGTATTAGGAGACACATCCTTGATATTGTCTATGCTTCAACAAAGCATGGAAACTGGCCAAAGTGCCGGGCGGAAAAACCCAGTGCAAAAAGATAGGGAGAACGATATGGAAGAAAAAAGAAAAAAAATAACTGAACAAAAACAATGGCTTTCCAGCTACTGCTAGGAAAAGCCAGTTATTATCATATTCAAGTATGCCATTTCAGGCCATCTAGAGGTGCCATAATCATAAAATTTTGTACCTCTTCCCCAACTATGGTAGGTCTAAGCTGGTCTCGACCCTCTAAATGCCAAACTACCTCCACCAGCTGTCTGTAGTGCCATCAGATCTTGACTACAGTTGCATAATAATGATGATGATTTCAATGACGGCGGCACGACAGAGAGACAGCACATACAGCAGTGACAACAGTGATAAGGATAACATTATGTCAGTCTCAGATATGTCTCTTATACACATCTAAACTACAGTAATGATTTATTGTATTTGAATTTACAGGTTGCTCTGCAAATAATTCCATAGGGAAACCTTTGTTATTAAGAAAACATCGTTTGCTTGTTGTGTACACTGGTCAACAATTTACCATGGATTGCACACCAATCAATCTGGAAGCAAATGTTTTAAGCGTTAGATGGTTTAAAGACAACAATTTGGACTGGAAAGTCAAAGACATGGTAAATAAAAATTATAAGTCAATCCATTATCAGTGGTAGATTCAAGGGGGACCCAACCGCTCACACATCTCCCCTTCCTCAATTTTTCAAAATTAATTAAAAAAGGAAAATTATATTCAAACTGAAGTCTGAGAGTGCCATTTTCGCCCATCTAGAGGTGCCCCAACTATGGAGCTGAGATGGTGTAGATCCTCCATTTGTGAAATTTCTTCCCTGGGCCCCTCTGTTTCAAATTTCTGGATCTGCTACTGATTATCAGGCTTAAAAAAATTCTTGTTTTTCAGGCACGATAATGTTGGTAACGAGTCTTTATATAGTGCCTTTTCCTTACCAGACATAAAGCACTTGTACAACTCACTTCTTCAACCTTGTACTACCTAAAGGGCCTATCATGTCAGTTTGCTCTCAATTGATGGACCAGAATGCTGTGGTAACCCCTTGTGTAAGGATGTCCTGATTTCTTTAGAGTTCACTTTGAATTATCGCATTTTTTATAGACAAACTTTTTATTATCTTTTTATTTAGTGTATTTATATAGTGCACATTGCTAAAGGTGCTTTTCTCCCTGTCATTGGATACAGAATCAATCATACATAAGATGCAACCTCCACCACATGCGTGTAATCATCACTAGTAATTCAATTCTGACATTCACCTCCTACTAGGTACTCATCTGAAGAGAGGCAAATGCAGATAAAGTATCTTGCCTAAAGGCCAACTCAGACAGCGTCGGCTGACGCAGCCCGACCCGATTTATCGCCGGGGACAGTCTTAAGCCGTCGTGAGACCAGCGCGTCTGCGTTTAACTCACACAGACCCAACGCAACAACAAATCGCGTCAGGCTGCGTCGTACGAAGCTGTCTGAGTTGGCTTTAAGGATGCAAGAAGTGTGAGAAGCATTGGTCTCGAACCCCTGACCTGATTGAAAGCCCAACACCTTACGCATTACACCGCATGCTTCCACAAAAAACTTAATTAAATAATATAAGAGCAAAACCAGTGTATTGTAAAAAAAGAATTGTACATTCCAGGTCTCCCCAGTATTGAAATACACAGTCGATAGTGCTACTGCAGCTGATGAAGGCGTCTACCGTTGTTTTGTGTACAACTGTGCTGGCTCAAGTGAACAAGAAATTCGTGTGAGTTATTGTGAGTAATTTAAGTTTTGCCAATACAAAATATTTTGTGTACTTTGTTTTTTTTTAATGATAATCGTATTTGAAAAAAGTTTTGATTTTAAATTTCTTGTTTTAAAACTAATAAGAATAATTGTTTTACTTTGAATCAATATTTGGTGCAACTGCTTCACGAGCGGATCACCTCTTGTTATTGTCAGAGATCATCATTATCTTCTTTTTTTTATTCTACCTTTCTGTCAATTTCTGTTAACACAATATCTTAAATTTGCCAAGAACTACGAACAAGCGCACTTCAACAAACATTTGGCTTGGCCTGGAATAGTTACAATAATTTTTTCAATGTGCTCAGATATGCGTGACGTCATCTACGTGCAATTATGCGTGTTTTACATTATCGATCATATCATCCTAACCAGTTGTCATTCCTCAATCATATTCAGTGGGCATGAACTTTAGGTCAAGGTTGAATGTCATGTACCGAAATATTTCCATATCTTTTTTCCATATTTTTTTTATATTTGTTATATTTTCTAGGTTTGTATACATTTTTGTATCTGTAGTAGTGGCCATTTCCTGATCCGCCACTAAAAATAAACCATTTCATTATAAATAACAAGTTATATTATATTTTTTCTTATTTTCCAAGATGAAAGAACGAAGTTATCTGTCCGTATACAGCCAGCAAAAAATGTTACGCTGATTGAAGGGCAGAGTGTTTCCCTCCACTGCAGCGCATCAGAAAATGGAGTCTTCTATCAGTGGTTGAAATGGGAAGATAACATAGGTCCTGAAATTCGGGTATGAAATCTTGTTAATGAACATTGTTTTTACAGTAGGTGTGATAAAACATTTTTGTATGAGATATTTTAGTTCTTGGTCCAAGAGTTGTAACATAATTTTTTTTTTTAAATTTCTGTACCTAACCGCCACAAGTATTTCTCTTTGTTATCTTCCCAGGAAACGAACATTGAAAAATTCTATGTAAGTATAAAATTAATGATGATGAAGATTATGGTATTGATGGATGGTTTTTACTACTGTATTATTAATTATCTCACTGAAGTAAGCTGACTATGGATATAACCATGTGAAGCAAAATATAGTTAAATGTATATTTAATGAAAGCTCATTCTACCCAACTTGAGACCAATGCTGTCATAATAAGCACATGCCCACACCCCCTCCCCCAGCAAGCTAGTGCCCATCACTTAATCATTAAGCTCCCCGAACTTCACCTTCTCACCCCATCATCACCTTACCCCCATTTTAAGAATCCTAGATATGCCACTGCTCGAGATTCCATTCTATCATTTTCTTTTTGCAGAAATTGGAGAAGGAATGCAGTGATGCTAAACAAATCATATCAGGTGACAGTTTCTCGTGCTTGGTAAATTGTCTTGTTTTTTTTCCCATAAATTTCAACTTGGTTTTTGGCATATTTACAAACCAAACAAACTATAGGCTTGAGTAAAAGTTTTTCTTAAGATTAAATAACAGTGCAGTTGGTGTTGAAGAAGGCATAATTTATGGATTTTAGGTCCAGCACTAGATACAGTGGCTGACAACTGACCAGAACAAAAGCTTTTGTTTTCTGTAGAAAATTTCTGTAGTGCCATCAGATCTTGACTACAGTTGCATAATAATGATGATGATTTCAATGACGGCGGCACGACAGAGAGACAGCACATACAGCAGTGACAACAGTGATAAGGATAACATTATGTCAGTCTCATATTATATAGGTCATCAAGGCCGACATTACTCTAATGATTGCTTACTTTGTTTCCTGCTTTATGATCTCTCTCATTACCGTAGTTTCTCTAGTATGAGCCCACCACCACCCCCCGTGTTCTCCCAATTGAAATATTTTTACTGGTAAATTTGTTCATATAAAGCCAGCTAAGTGCGTGCAACGTGAGGTATTGCTTCTTTTACGTGGAGTTCAGTGGCTCAAAAAACAACAATACATATAATCATAGCCTAGGCCTGGATTGGAACAGTGAAATGATGTTCATTTTTAAAGAAGGTCAGCCTAGGTGACCTAGCCTAATAAGTGCTATTTCTGTCTCTTATACACATCTAGATGTGTATAAGAGACAGGTGTAGCATAGCTCTCAACGAATGCAGTCCT